TTTATATATATATATATATATATATATATATATATATATATATATATATATATATATATATATATATATATATATTATATATTTATATTTACAAGCACCGTTTTAAAAAGCAAACAAAAATAACGTATGACAAAATCTCAATATATATATATATATATATATACATATATATATATATATATACATATATATATATATATGTTGGAAATATATTATATATATACATATATATAAATACATATATATGTATATATGTTGGAAATATATTATATATATATAATATATTGATATATAATATATTTATAATATAAATTGTGAATAAACACTCAAGATATGTAACATTGTATGTATATAGTTATATATATATATTTAGATTTGTGTGCAGACAATTAATATATATACAAATATATATATGTATATATATATATTTATATACGTGTGTGTGTTTGTGTGTGTATATAGTATATATATATATATATATATAGTTATGTGTATATATTTAATATATATATAATAAAATTATTTATTTACAACTTTATGGCAAGATTAACATCAAATTAATTACAATATGTTGATAACAATTATAACAATAACAACATGTGTGTGTGAGTGTGTGTATGTTTTTATACGCACATACAAATAAATCGCATCCAGGATTTTTTTATTATTTTTTGTAAAAAAAAACTACAAACTCAGGGAGAAAAAGGTCACCCAATAAAATATAATGATTTTGATGATGAAATAATAACCACAAAATTATTAATATTTCTTATTAATATGATCATTATTGTTGTTATTATTATTATTACTACGTAATCAATTCAAATATAAATTAGTACCCAGTTAATTCCAAAGAATCAGTCGTCAACACGCGGTAGCATAGTTTCCTGCTTCAAAAGCACGTTGGGCCAGTCTTTTAAAACACCGTTTGTACTTTATACATCTCTCCCTTTCTCTCTTTCTCTCTCTCTCTCTCTCGTTCTCTCTCTCTCTTTCTCTCTCTCTCTCTTTATCTATTTTTCTCTACAAACATAAAATAATTATATATGCCGCATTTTTAAAGAAGAAGCGAACAATAAAAACCACAAAACAAAAAATACTATTAATATATGATTCGAAATATGCACGCCATAAAATCAACATAATATACACACGTATGTAGATGTACGTACATATGCAGACTATATATAGCGTTTGTTTTGAGCTTTTTTGTGTAATAAATGGAAGTAAATTATTGAAAAATTTAATTGAATACTTAATTAATTATACAAATGATTGGCTGAATGGAAATTAAATTGAATAAGTTAGAGAAATATCAATTAAACGGGTACATAAAATGATAATTTGGTGTGATGGAATGGTGAGATATGTTAATCTTTATCACTGTCAGTAGAAGAATCGAAATTGTTATTATTTATATTATTGTCATCATCCTTATCATCATGAAGAAGTGAAGATGATGATGAAGGTGTCTAACTCTAACCTTAACTACAAAAACCACCAATGACCAAACTCAAACCAGCAGATCAACAACATCACCGCTACCACTGCCACCACTACTACAACCGAAACCAGCCACAACTGCGTCAAGAGCCACACCAGACGGCCTGAAGCCGGCTACCTTTTGACACAAAAACGCGCAGACGTCTCTGGCGTTTGGCCTCTTGCTACGATCGATCGACCAACACTCAACCATCAAGTCGTACATCTCGCTAGAGCACATCACTGGTCTGCTCAGCGTCATCGGTGACGTCATTATCTGTTTCCGATTTTCGTCATTTAGGTTCTTCCGGAATTCATCACTTGGGTTTTTCCAGGATTTATCGTCTGGGGTTTTCCACCCATTGTTTTCATAGCAGCTGACGTATCGTTCGACCACTTGCTGATCAGTCAAGGACGAATACGGAAGGTCACGAGCTAAGGTCAGGAGTTCCCAGAGAGTCGTGGAAAATGACCAGATGTCGCTTTTTTCGCTGTGTTCGTTCTAAATTTTAAATTGAAAATTTAAAAAAAAAAGATATATACATACATGAATACACACACACATGAACACAGACACACAATCATGCAAACACACATACATACACACACATACACACACACACTAGCACACATACGAACAAACAAACAAACCATGACGGCGGCTTCCATTGCCATCCATCTCAGAGGTCTTGAATCGTGTTGTAACCTCATCAAAATTTTTTCCGTTGTTGTCGCTGCTGCCGCTACTGCTGTTGATGCTGGCGTGGTTGCTACTGCAGCTGCTGATGACGTAGTTGCCGACAGAATCTTCTCTGTGGATGTGGTCGTGTTTGTTTTATCAACTCCAAAACTTTTGCCGCCGTCGTTTAGTGACGCTAAAACGAGATTTTTTAATTTTAAGCGGAGGCAGTGAATTTTTCTGTGAAATTTTTAGCTTTTAAATGAATAATTAATCCTAAAATTATAATTTATAATAACAACAACCAATAATAATAATAATAATAATAATAATAATAAAAACAGCAAAACGTGTAACAAAATAATTTGAAGAACATCAGCTCTAGCCCCGGGAGAAAACTCAAAATGACTCAACCGCAAACACAATCATAAACAACAACAACAACAGCAGCAATAAAAACAACAACAACACAACAATAACAACAACAACAAAAACAACAGCAACAATAACAGCAACAACAAAAACAACAGCAACATTAACAACAGCAACAACAAAAACAATAAATAATAGTAATAATAATAAACAATA